TTTGAAAGATTTATGTTATGCAGATAACTGTCTCTGAAAGCAAAAACATTAATTTGAAAATAAATGACCAAAGGACAACTAGTTTACAGATCAATGAATGCCCTCTTACAAAACTCTTGGGTCAAAGAAAAATGCAAAATAGGTATTAGACAGTATTTTTAAAAAACAGATAATGAAAATATATATTAAGCCTAGTAACTTATAGTCAGACAGAAATGGATTTAATGCAGATATTAGAAAAGAAAATGACTAAAATAAGTAAGTTTGGCATGTATTGAAGAAGTTATAACAATACAATGAAGAAAACCCAAGGAGAGAAGTAAATCTCATCTTGAACTGTAGTTCCCATAATCCCCACAATGAGCTGGAGGGACCTGGTGGGAAATAATTGAATCGTGGGGGCAATTACCTCCATGTTGTTCTCATGATAGTGAGTGGAGTTCTCATGGGATCTGATGGTTTCACAGCCTTTGCTCTGCACTTCTCCTTGCTGCTGCCTTGTGAAGAAGCACATTTTTGTTTCCACCTCCTCCATGATTGTAAGTTTACTGAGGCTCCGTCCGTCATGCCGAACTGTGAGTCAATTAAACCTTAGCCTCAGCTATGCCTTTATTAGCAGTGCCGCGTGAGAATGCACTAATACATCTCATATCTCCCTAAAATGTATAAAACCAAGCTGTCCCCTGACCACCTTGGGCACATGTCATCAGGACCTCCTGAGGCTGTCATGGGTACATCCTTAACCTTGGCAAAATAAACTTTCTAAATTGATTGAGACTTGTCTCAGATACTTCGTGGTTTACAAATTACCCTTTGTTCTAGACCAGTCACAAGAGTGACCATACATAATGGCAGTGTGCCACTTACTCAGCTAGAAAGGCTCCTTAGCTTTTCCTCCCACTGGGAATGAAAGTCAGTATTCTTACCTTGACCTGTCAGGCCCTGGACTTAACAAAAACCAGCATATTTTGACCTAAAATTACCTCTGAATGGTCTTTGTGTGTAAGATGGAAGAGACATGGAGTGGTGCCAGCATCTGAGATGAGGCTGAAAATGAAAACTAGGGGTACTTTCTAAAATAAGGGATGCCTTGAAAGTCATGTTGAACTTTGTCTTCCTGGAATAGGAAGAGGGTGGAAATATTTTAATTAGGGAAGTGATGTGATTGAATTTGCTTTTAAAGTTCTTTTTGGTTAAATGTAACAGAGAAGGAATTTGATACAGTGGGTCATAATGGAGAGGAAACAATTTTAGGAATATTAAAATAACCTTGGCTTGAATTAAGGTAGAGATGGAGAAATGTGTAAAGACTGAAGAGGCTGTTGGGAGTTAGAAAAGACAAGTGGACGGATTAGTGTTGGGATAAGAAAGGAAGAAAGGAGTCATTGATGACGCCATGTTTCAGAAGGTTTAGGTGATGAGGTGAAGGCTGATGCCATTCATTGAAACAAGATAGAGAGATAAGCGTGCTTTGAAAGATAGATAAGCATGCTTGGGTGCAGTGGTTCTCATGTGAAATGTCTGACGAAACATAAAAGTGAAAGGAGGAGACAAATATAATAAAAAATATATATTCTTGATGTCAAAACTAAAATATAAATATTTGGGAGACTTCCGTATGTATTTGGATGCTATTCTCATGCTTCTGTTTCTGGAAAAAATAATACAAAACAAAAATTATTTCATGAGTTCTCAATTTTTGTCCTTCTGTTTTTATCAGATAAATGCAAATAACTTTCGTATCTTTCTTCTCTTGCAGTTTCCCATGTCTTCCAAATTTATTTCACATCATTATCTTACTTTTCCTCAAGGTCATTTTTCCCTTGACTACAACAATGCAGATTTCAATTCTGCCACTGAATTCCTAGACATATTCGTCATCCCCATTTTCATCTCCCACCACCCCGCCGTTTTCTTCATGTTAACTTGTTTTCCTGACTCACAGAAATCACCTTTCCCTGCATACATTTTTAGGATTTCAAACTTTATTCTAATGATTTCTCCTAGTTTCCCCCAAAATTATATTCTATGGTGTGTTTTTAAAGTTGAATTTTTAAGATGATATTTCATATCTATATTTTCAAAAGCTTTTCTTCTGTGAATGTTATTGTCAGCTGTCAGGGTGTGAGATAGTTCTTGATACTACATTCTTTCCATGCTGTTGCCTGAATCGGTTTAAAATAAAGTCATTACTAGGCTGTAAACTTGCTCTTCAAAATTGAGCAGCATATATTTAACCACTCATACTTCTTAGCTTTCCAACACTTTGAGTCAATGGAGTATACAAACACCTGTAATTTCCAGTGAGCACAGCTCCCAGGCTCGCTCTCTGTGTCTCTCACTTTTTTTTTTTTTTTTTTTGCCTCAGCCTGTGGGACTTTATTTATGGGATTTGCACCTTCACCTTCTGCATGCAGTGTGCCTTACATTTTTATTGTGATTTTCGTAGAGGCGATGATTTGCTGGTTGTAGAAAAATGGACAGCATTATAGGATTACAAAAGTATTGCTAAGAAATTCCAACAAGCTACTTCCAGTTTATGTCTGATTGTTAGTTTTGGATGGTGCAACCTTAATTTCTGAACCAGCAGGTGAAAGATGAGAGAAGAATAAGAGACCTTTCTATACATCTTCAGGCAAACAGGCTTGTTGGCTTCCTAATATTTCAGTGGGACACTGGGATGGGGTGGAGGCAACATATTGTTTAAATAAGTAGATAGTTTTTTAAAAAAAATAATGAATTTTGTCTCTAAGATATATTTTTATTAGAATGATACTATGTAGGAATACGTGTAAACCCCTGGACTTTGATCTCAAGCAAAACATTTTCCCTATCATCCCTCCCTCTTAAGTGCATGAGTTTGGTAAAGTACCACAGAAATTTGTTCTCTCAAAGTTCTGGAAACTCGAACTCTGGAGTCAATGTGTTGGCATGGTCTCTTCTGTGCTCCTGCCTTAGCTTTAGGGCATTGCTGGCAACCCTTGACTTGTAGATGCATCACTTCAATCTCTGTGCTCCACAAGGTGTTGTCCACTGTGTCTGTGTCCAGTGTCTTCATCCAGTGTCTGCTTTTTCTTCTAATAAGGACATCAGCTGTATGAACTCACCCTAATTAAGTATGATCTCATTATAACCTGATTGCATCTGCAAATACCCCATTTTCAAATAAGGTCATATTCCTAGGATTAGGAGAAAGGAAGGAAGTGGGCACAATTCAATTCATAACACCAACTAAATATAAATGCCACTGTGGTAAGATCAGCTTGACCATGTCGTTTTTTAACTGTGGTTTTCTTTGTTTCTATTGTGGTTTTTGCTCATCTTATCAGAAAATTGGATAACTTTAGATACTGAATATGAAAGAGTAAAACATTAAAAGTTTAAAGTGAAGGCCAGGCACGGCAGCTCACACCTGTATTCACAGCACTTTGGGAGGCCGAGGTGGGTGGATCACCTGAGATCAGGAGTTTGAGACCAGCCTGGGCAACATGACGAAACTGTCTCTACTAAAAATACAAAAATTAGGTGGGTGTGGTGGCGGGCACCTGTAATACCAGGTACTGGGGAGGCTGAGGCAGCAGAATCACTTGAAACTTGGAGATGGAGGTTGCAGTGAGCCTAGATCATGCCACTGCACTTCACCCTGGACAACAAAGCAAGAATCCATCTCAAAATAAATAAGTAAAATAAAAATAAAAAAATAAAGTGAATCCCACAGATTTGCTTATACTCTTTATAACTAGATTAAGTGTCTACAACAGCGCTCTTTTTGAGTAACTTTATGGGGATATACATCAGGTACCAACCACTCCACATTCCAAAGGGAGGCACAGACTTGCTTTGCAGGACTTGCAAAGCAGTGTCCAAAATGGTTTCCTGGCCTTAGGCTCAGCATCCCCCTGAAGGGTATGAGGGAAGAGCTGCGGTCTCCCGTTGGAGAGATTGGATGGATGCTGAGTGCTCATCTTCTTCCCCTTCCCTGACAGAGAACTCAGTGTGCATCCGTGGACCTACAGGGACAAACAAGTGTCAGATTTATTCCAGAAAATCGTTAAAGGATGAGAGGCTTGTGAAGAGGCCCAGAGCAAAACCAAAGAAGGCTACAGCCTGGAAATAATTGTATTCCCCCGATAGTAGGCCAGATTGCATCTTTCTTATCACTCTGTGGTGGGCATTGTGAGACAAAGCTTAGCCTGGGATTATCTTAGATCTTGTCAAAGAAGGCCCTGGCCAATGAGGCTATCTCTGCAGGAAGCAGCTGGAAGTGCATCACCCAGATCCCAGCTGGAGAGACCAGCCTCAGGAGAACAGCTGAGGCTGAGGGATTCATTCTACCTGGGAAAACTGCACATGACGGATAACCATTCATGGGCAGGGATCTTAACCCCCAAGGATGCCCTGAAGAATTCAGCACCCAACCTCCTATTACTTTCAAAGGAATCACACAACAGTTTACAAGGGGGCATGTCAATAACTTTATTAGTGCCGAGCTCTGCCTTTGTCTGTAATACCTCTCACTTCAGTCCTCCATGAGTCATAGTGTTTCATGGGTGTATGATGAAGCAATGGAAGCCTCATGCCTGGAAATAGGAAGAAAGTTCACTATAAGGGACTTGCTCATTAAAGTGGACCCAAACTTGTGAAGAGAACTTGGATCACAGGTTGGCATCTTGATTTTTTTGATTTTTATGGAGTACACAGAATTGCAACTGGTAAAGGAGACAATTCTCGAGAGGAAAGGTGATTAGAGGACATCTTGTGACCTGGGAGTGAATGGATACATTCTGAGAATTGCTCTATATTTCACTAAGTAACAGGGGTTTGCCCCTCAAAGTGGGGGTGGTTTTAAGGAGGCAATCGGTTGTGGGGAGGTAGGAAAGTTGATTTCTGATTTTATCTTTGCTCATCTTCCAGGCTACATAAACATTAAGAACATTGTTATTTTACTTTAATAAAGAAGTTTATAAATAGTCCAATATTAAAATTTGATTAAATGATACTTTTGGAAATACATTAATTTTACTGAATGCCCTCTAGCCTTACTATAAAAAAGAATGCTTTGCAAATAATGAAAGCTAAATAAAAATAAGCCAGCTCCAGCCACTTTAAGTGACGGAACACACTTTGTACCTTGGGGATGGGGAGAGGGCAGGAAATGAAGAAATTAAAGGCAAGGGCGTCTCACTGAGGTATATCAAATCCTATTAGACCAGGTCATTTCTTTGGCTGGAAACTGGACAGGGCTCCTATTGTCCTGTCTACTTTGCCTGAAATCTTTTATTTATTCTCCATGTTTGTTTCATTGGCAGGTAATTCTATTCCTGTTTCTACATTTACCATGCTAGATCCATCTTTTCCCTGATTTTATTTTTAAGTTACTATGATGTTCTTACTAAATATATAAATGTTTATTATTGGGTTTTAGCTGTTTCTATAATAAAGAGTTGTAGTTATTGTAAGTTGCATCTCACTAAGCTTTAAAAATGTATTCATCCACTGTAGAGAAGTATGTTTCATTGAAATTTGATTGCACACAAAGCTTGACATGAGGTTTATTCTCTTTGTGAAATAAACCATTCAATCTGGAATGCATTCACATTTATCTGAAACTTGAAGGAAATAAGTCATCTTTCACTTATATTTTAATATCCCATATTTCCATTAAATTAATGGAAGGTTAGACCTAAAGCTCTCTTATTGGACAGTTATTATTAATGATTCTTTGCACATAGAGTGCATGAATAGCTCACAAGAAAATTTCACCAAAGTCATGTTATATGTTTCTCATAATAATCCTAAGAGGTAGGGTTGACAGACATTAGCATTCTGACATCAGAATTGGAGAGAGATTCTTCTGTCTCATTTAAGGGATTTGCCCAAAATTAACCAGTCCATGGTAAATCCAGCTCTATAATATTACCCTTAAGAATATTCAAAAGGTCCCGGGCGCAGTGGCTCACACTTGTAATCCCAAGACTTTGGGAGGCTGAGGCAGGTGGATCATCTGAGGTCAGGAGTTCAAGACCAGCCCAGCCAACATGGTGAAACTTCGTGTCTACTAAAAATACAAAAAAAAAAAAAAAAAAAAAAGCTAGGAGTTGTGGCAGGCACCTGTAATCCCAGCTACTAGGGAGGCTGAAGCAGGAGAATTGCTTGAACCTGGGAGGCGGAGGTTGCAGTGAGCCAAGATTGCGCCACTGCACTCCAGCCTGGGCAACAGAGCGAGACTCTGTCTCAAAACAAAAACAAACAAAAAAGAATATTCAAAAGGCGCATGGGACAAGGAGAGGTCATTTCACATCCTCTTGAGGAGCACAGGTCACTCCAGACTATATTTTTCCTAGATGACTGGGGGACCCTGCTCTCCTCCTTTTGGCTCTAGGGACTTGATTCCTGAAGACGGGTCATGCTCCAACGTCTAGTTTAGAGTTTTTCTACTACACCACTTGGTCTCTTATTTTAATTTATTTCTCTGCTTTTTGGTTTTATTCTTTTTTAATCTCCTGGATCACAATATAATCATTTGAATTTTTGTTGTGTATACAAGGACTCACAGAAAATGTGTAATAGACGTGGTTCGTGGGAAAATCTTGCTAACGGAATCCAGTAGATTAATAACTGAGAAAATAAGGCACACATAACAAAAGGTTGTTCAAGGCTGTAAGTTCAAGAGTGGGAATTGATTAGAGTGATAGAATAAATACATGTGCATATGTTCTGAATTGATTAGGAATATTAAAAAGATACCTAGATTCCTAGAAAAATTAAAAAGAAACATTTTTTCTAAGAAATATGAAGTTCAAGTATAAACTTACCAAACAACAGAAGTGATAAAGTGTTAGCATAAAAAATTAGCATCGTGATTATTCTGTATTGTTTACACAGATCTATCAAGTCAAATGTTTGGCCAGAGCCATTCTTTATTCAGTTATCAAAATGATAGAGTCATTTGGATGAGTTCAGAGACTTCTGCCTTATGATAAAAAAGATAATTGTAAATCAAAAAAGAGTTTAAAGGCTATACTAATTAAACAGCTAATTGGATATTAGAAGATTTGTTTCTCCAAACTTCTACTATTTTTGATTTTCTTTTCTGTTTGTGGAAGTTTTGGGAAGCAACGTTTTATTCTGTGATTAGCTTCAAAGAGTTTCAGCCATGGGTTATGGGACTGGACCATGTATACTTGAAGTGTGCTTCAAACCATAAAATTCTATGAGATTTTGTGAGCAACTACATCTTATTAATAAAAATAATTGCTGTTTATACCCTATTTTAAAGTACTTATTTTTGCTTTCTCAAATATAAGGATGATGTACTATGAATTTGTAGTATCATTAACTATGAAGACAAAAGATATAAAAATTTACTGTTCACTCATTTTTCCTTAATTTCCAAGAACCTTAATCTGGAATTTAAGCTTAAGCTTACTTTAAACATTATCTTTATTGTTTTATTTTCTATGAAAAAAAATCCAACCTATCTATTAGTATGCCACTTTAAAAATATTAAAAGCCAGTGGATAACTGCAAAAGAAGGGCTTTTAATTTTATATCAAATAATAAAATAATTTATTCTATTGATAATTCCAAACTCTCAAATAATATCTTGCTGCAGTACTAAGGAAATGGACAAAGGAAGAAAAAACAGCTTTTCATGCCTTTCCTGAAACAACTGTAGGAAATTTTTGTCATGCTACAATTATTCTGTGATCATGAAAAATTCTTTTAAAGACATGATAGCCACAACCATTTTATCTTCTGACTTACTAAGCAGTCTGAGGGTGAATAGAGACTTTCGATTCCAGCTTATGGTTATAATTACTAACTGCAAAAATCCTATTGCCTTTCATTAAGTAGTTCAAATATTTAATTGAGACTACAGGGTGTCCACACACAGCGTTGTACCATGCATAATTATCCCTACACATACAGGAACACTGAGGGTACTTTTAACAATAAAACAGATTATCAAAAAATTACATTTTTAATTTAAGTTTTGACTTTAATCTTTTCTGTGGTTAAATACACATTTCTGCATTTTTTCTGCAAATGAAGACATTAAGCTAAATAAATGAACCATAAAGGGACAGAAAAAAAAAACTTTGCACTGTTACATAAATGGATAAATCTTTAATATGCATTAAACATAGCACTATGTCTTTATTTTCTAACAGCTTGTATGAGAAAGAAGAACTGGTGATGCAGGAAGTCAAATACCACCAGCTTAGTGGGTCAGCATCCTCTCCTCCCACATAAGCGGAGCTCGGAGCATGAGATAAAATACCTGGGTGCCCTTTGCTCCAGCCTCGTGCTCCCACAACTTTGCTTCTGACAGAGTAGTTATCTCTCTGACCACTGGGAAACTACTAAAAGAGAGAAACTTGAAAAGGATTGGACCTTTCTGTGCAGATCTCTTTGAAAATTGTCACCTTCCAGGTTAGCTTTTAAGAGAAGCCCAATATATTAGGAACCTGAAAATAAAGGAAAGTTTGCACATTGAAACATCACTTGCTAATAGTTTTATTATTGGAAATGGAAATTTGGAATTCTAGAAAAAGAAATGTCATTAGGGGGTTAGGAATTAACCACTTGCTACCTATGTTAATGTGACGTGGTTAAAAGAAGCTGCAGGAAGTTCCTGAAATTATTGAAACAAAAATTTCCCCCTGGAATCTAAGTCATGCAAGTGAAATTATTTAAACATTCCCTTCAACTTTATATTTCAAAAGCGCTTTACAATAGCTTCTTATGTTATCCATCCCTCGACTAGCTGAAAGGCATGCATTTTTATTGTTTTAGTTACTATTTAGCTTTATGAACAGCATTCTTGTTTTGTTGTAATTACACACATTTATTTCTGTGGGGATGGAACGACCATGCTCTGCTATTTCTGCCAGGTACTAATTGTCAATAGAAAATAGAGCCAAGTAGAGCAACCTTAGCTCTTCAATCAACACATCCAGTATTAAGGAAAAAAAAAAAAGACATTGATATCTGAAATGTAAATTCA